CGCCGAGAAGCATCACGAGTAGTCCCAGTCAAGACCGGTGCCAACGCTGTAGCACACGTCCCCAGCACAATTGGGAGGATACCGTCAGGCCCACTCGACTTGTGGATGTCCAGGGAGAGGAGTGCTTTGCGAACCGAGCGCTATGTGAACCACACCTCCGACATGGAGCACCCACACCGCGGGATGGTCGGCGGCATACTCCCCCCGTCATCAAGAGTCGAGTTGGACGCAAAGAAAGAGCCTAGCAGATCGGCTTTCTCCTTTACGGCATGGGCCAGTGAGTCGTCCTTCCTGTGCAGAGATAGAAGAGATGGCTGACAGAAATTCCCTTGGATAGCCTTGGCGACAGACCAGAATGCACGGGTTCCAGAAGGAAGGCGAACTAGTTTCTTGCCAATTCTGCCTTAGTTCTCTGACTTTGCCTTGGCAATTTCTCTTTTGAAGGGGACCTGGAAGCGTAATTATACTTCTTTTTTTAGAGCGCTGGTGTTTACATCCCGGGACGATGCATCAGCCCAGGCTTGGTAGCACTCCTGCTTATAGCATGATGCTATTTTACAGGAGCGACCAAACCATGGCTGAGATTTGCCTCCGATGGGCACCACAGAGGAAGGAATAAAAAGTTCCATACCCTGAAGTACCACATCAGCGTCAGAATCAGCAACAACGTTGGGATCGTCCGGTGAAAAGTAAACCCGTCTCTAAGAGTAGGATACAAAGGAAGACCGCATCCCATCCCAATCAGCTGACATATAGTGCCAAACACGGCGGCAGCCTGCAGAAAGCAACAGCGATTTCAGCGTGAGTAGCACCACACTCTGGACAAAACAATGGTCCGAGGAGCCTAAAGGGGGTGTCGACGGAAATCTGATATCCGTCCGGATGAGAGGTCAGCAGAAGGTCCAACAGGGAAGGTGCATGATCCTCCACATCTGGAATCCGCGTAGGCGAAGTAACCAGTTGTGTCAGACCATATTCCAAGGCAAAATCATGAACAGATCTCCCCGCATGGTAGGTTGAACGTGAACCAAGCCATTCGGCGTGGTGGGCGTTAAAATCGCCGAAGATCACGATCTCTGCGGAGTGGATCTGCTGTAGCAACGAATCTGTAGCCATTTCTACGTGGTCGAGGAGTCGGTCTGTTTCGGCATTACCGCTATGGGACCTATAGAAGCACCCGTAGACGCGCCGATTGTCGTCGCTGTCTACGCGTAGCCAAAGGATGGACAGGTCCGAACCTTCAAGACTGCCGAGGCGTCGAGAACAGATGTCCCCTCTATACATCATATACGCAAACTCCAGCCCGAGGCACAAAGTAGTGTTCCAGTTCGTACCCCGGGTAAGAGAGATACCAGACCAGACAAAACGCGGGAGCAAAGATTCCACTTCACGCCGGTATTCTCTGAGATCGTGGACACCCCGTTTGAGCCGGGATGCCTCAGAAAGCTGCCGCGTGGCTCTACCATATTAACCTTGAGCCAAAGTACGTACAGACCCGCGGGCGAGCGCCAACAGTAAGTGACAAAAAACCCGGCAAAAATATGAAATATAGACATTGGAAAATTATTACTGGTATTTTAATTCTACACCCTCAAAAAAGAATAACAATGTGAACTCTTGGACGAGTTGCTCTTTCTGACGAGACGCAGGTGTCCTCTCCGGCTGATGTGTATCTCTCCCACCCGGGGTACAACTGGAACACTCCTTTGTGCCTCGGGCTGGAGTTTGCGTTTACGTCAGAGAGGACATCTGTTCTCGATGCCTCGGCAGACTTGAAGGTTCGGACCTGTCCATCCTTTGGCTACGCGTAGACAGCGACGACCATCCGCGCGTCTACGGGTGCCTCTATAGGTCCCATAGCGGTAATGCCGAAACAGACCGACTCTTCGACCACGTCCAAATGGCTGCAGATTCGTTGCTACAGCAGATCCCCTCCGCTGAGATCGTGATCCTCGGCGACTTTAACGCCTATCACGCCGAACGGCTTGGTTCACGTTTAACCGATCATGCGGGGAGATCTGTTCATGATTTTGCCTTGGCATATGGTCTGACACAACTGGTTTCTTCGCCTACGCGGATCCCAGATGTGGAGGATCATGCTCCTTCCCTGTTGGACGTTCTGCTGACCTCTCACCCGGACGGATATCAGATTTCCGTCGACGCCCCTTTAGGCTCCTCGAACCATTGTCTGGTCCGGAGTGTTGTGCCACTCACGCTGAAATCGCGGTTGCATTCTGCAGGCTGCCGCCGTTTTTGGCACTATAGGTCAGCCGATTGGGATGGGATGCGGTCTTTCTTTGCATCCTACCCTTGGGGGCGGGTTTGCTTCTCGCCGGATGATCCCAACGTTGTTGCGGATTCTGTTACTGATGTGGTACTTCAGGGTATGGAACTTTTTATTCCTTCCTCTGTGGTGCCCATTGGAGGCAAATCTCAGCCATGGTTTGGTCGCTCCTGTAAAATAGCATCATGCTATAAGCAGGAGTGCTACCAAGCCTGGGTTGATGCATCAGCGTCCCGGGATGTAAACACAAGCGCTCTAAAAAAGAAGTATAATTCCGCCTCTAGGTCCTTCAAAAGAGTCATTGCCAAGGCAAAGTCAGAGCACATAGGCAGAATTGGCGAGAAACTAGTTCACCTTCCTTCTGGAACCCGTGCATTCTGGACTCTCGCCAAGGCTGTCCAGGGGAATTTCTGTGAGCCATCTCTTCCATCTCTGCACAGGGAGGACGACTCACTGGCCCATACTGCAAAGGAGAAAGCCGATCTTCTAGGCTCTTTCTTTGTGTCTAACTCGACTCTCGATGACGGGGGGAGTACGCCGCCGACCATCCCGCGGTGTGAGTGCTCCATGCCGGAAGTGCAGTTCACACAGCGCTCGGTTCGCAAAGCACTCCTCTCCCTGGACATCCGCAAGTCGAGTGGGCCTGACGGAATCCCCCCAATTGTGCTGAGAACGTGTGCTCCAGAGTTGGCACCGGTTTTAACGCGTCTTTTCCGGTACTCCTACTCCCTAGGCGTAGTCCCAAAATCATGGAAGACGGCTTTCGTCCACCCGATCCCTAAAAAAAGCGACCGCTCTGACCCGTCCAACTACCGGTCAATCGCCATCACCTCCTTGTTCTCCAAAACAATGGAGTCCATTGTAAACTGCCAGCTCATGAGGTACCTTGAAGATCACCAGCTGATTAGTGACCGCCAATACGGTTTTCGCCGTGGTCGGTCAGCTGGTGATCTTCTGGTCTACCTCACTCACAGATGGGCGGAGGCAGTAGAGTTCAAGGGGGAGGCATTGGCCGTTAGTTTGGACATTGCGAAGGCCTTCGATCGGGTTTGGCACAAAGCGCTTCTTTCGAAGCTCCCTTCCTATGGGCTTCCCGAGAAATTGTGCGATTGGATCACCAGCTTTCTTGCAGATCGGAGCATCAAGGTCGTTGTAGACGGTGCAAGCTCCGATTGCAAGCCTATTAATGCTGGTGTTCCACAGGGCTGCGTGCTATCGCCAACGCTATTTCTTCTGCATATCAATGATATGTTGCATACCCGTAACATTCATTGCTATGCGGATGACAGCACTGGTGATGCTCTTTACACCGGCTGAGCCAATATTTCTCGGGAAAACGTCTCCGAGTGCCGGGACAAACTTGTGTCTGAAGTCGAGTCTTTGCTGAACAGAGTCTCGGATTGGGGACGACTAAATCTAGTCCAGTTTAACCCCCAGAAGACACAAGTTTGCGCGTTAACCGCTAAAAAGAACCCCTTTGTCGTATCCCTCAGTTTCAAGGCACTCCCCTTGTTGCCTCAGCCAGTATCGGAATCCTCGGCGTCGACATATCGAGTGACGTGCAGTTTCGTGGTCACTTGGAAGGGAAGGCCAAATTGGCCTCTAAAAAGCTTGGCGTGCTCAGCAGAGCGGGACAGTATTTCATGCCGGCACACCGCCTGCAACTTTACAAGGCGCAGGTTCGGCCGCACATGGAATACTGTTCCCATCTCTGGGCTGGGGCTCCCCAGTACCTGCTCCTTCCACTTGACCGCATCCAGCGCAGAGCCGCTCGAATCGTCGACGACCGAGTGCTTTCCGATCGGCTCGATTCACTGGCGCTGCGAAGAGATGTTGCATCTCTTTGCGTATTTTATCGCACCTATCACGGGGAGTGCTCTGAGGAATTGTTCGGATTAATCCCAGCCGCCAAATTTCGTGAACGCACTACACGGCAAACGTCCCGATACCACCCACACCATCTGGATGCTTGGCGGTCCACCACTGTACGTTTCAAAAGGAGTTTTCTTCCACGTACAACCTCTCTGTGGAATAGTTTACCACCGGCCGATTTTTCCGGACCGATACGACCTGGGGACCTTCAAGAAAAGAGCTTACTCCTTTCTAAAGGGCCGGCAACGCACCCGCAATTCTCCTGATGTTGCGGTTGATCATGGGCGGCGGTAGCCACTTAACATCAGATGAGCCGCATGCTCGTTTGCCCCTTCTTCTATAAAAAAAATTTAACTAAAAAAAATGGATTTTTATCTAAGCAAATACTATGTCCAGCACGCCAAAGTCGTCTATGTTTGACCGCTAGTGTTGTAATGCGTTAGGCATAAATTTATTGAAAACTATTCAAAATTAAGCTCAAACGTGTTTTTTTTTTCTATTATTATTGATATTTAAATAATTGTTTTAATAATTGTTTTGAGCAATATCATGCCTAAAATTATCGTGAAACCAAAGTTTTTCATTTTCGATTAACTCTACCTCAATGAGGTAGAATACACTTTATAGTCTTTTTACGGTTAATTTCTTTTTTATAGCATAGGGTAATAAACGAGCACACAGTCCACCTGATGGTAAGTGGTTGCTGTGGCCCATAGACATTTACATCTATCCTCGATTACGAATCAAAATGCAGAACCACGGGGAAGAACCACGCTCTCACCGAATACCGGAGTCATTATAGAAAAAAGAATTCATAAGGAGAGCGAATGCATTTTATCAGCTAATGAGGCAGGATTTAGAAGATTCGATAAGCTACTGTTTTGATTTACAACAAATCCAATCCAAATTGCGAAACAAGCCCACTATTATCGCAAAAGAAGAATATATAGAAATTTTTAAAGAACTGGGACAGTTGTATTCATTAGAACAAGACTGGGAACTCAAAGATACCAAGGACTTAAAGAAGTTCTACAAAGATCTAAAAAATAAGCAATATGAAAAGGATTTTCTTCAAAGTCAGCGAGGTTAATGCTAAACGTTCAGTCAGAGTTCGAGCGATGGAAAACTTTATTTATGAAGGAAATGAAACATACGAAAATTTAAACAAGAAATCATTCACCATTAACATATTAAACAGAATGCAACCAAAAACACTGCCTTTAAGCAGATCTTTATCTAATGAAAAAAGATGGATGTAGATAAATTACTACAGTCTGTTTTTGGAAACTGGCAAGAGATTGAGGACATCCGTTTCAACTGGTATAAAGAAGTTCTTTTCAATACTCCAACCACTATTCAGGAAACAATTGATGATAATGAAAATGAGTGTGATTGTCTGGATAATGAGAATTGTATGAGAATTTAAGTATTACTGATTGTATTGGTAAAATAAGTCAATAAAAGTTTTACTAATTAATATTGCTAAAATAAAAATGTTTTCTAAAATACTATTTTTTTTAATCAAAATAGATCCACAACATACACTAATCTAAGACTCAAAAGATTGTAGTTAGAAATGGACAAAACATGTTTCTACTGCGAGATTGAAACATGTTTTCAAGTCAAAACATGTTTTGTCCATGTGGTTCATGCATAACGTGTTGTCCATTTTTCAAAAATTAAAATAAAGAGATAGAGACTTGACTTATCCATTAAAATATAATAATATTATTCAGTAGTAACAATTTGTTTTTTTGACTTTTATATGAATCTTAAACTTACACTCAATTCGCTAAAATCAAAAATGTTTATTTTTCTTTGTTCCATATCCAAGTGACATCACATTTTGATTGTTACCTCCTCAAATCTAGAACGATCAGTATCACTGCGACCTAAAAGATCTATTGTGATCGCTGCTTTGACAAGTTCACAGTTAAGCCCTATGTCTTCAATAAATCTTCTGGGCGGAGTACATAGTTTCTCAGATGAGTGTTACGTGTGCGCATTAAGATTCCGCAATCAGTTAGGATGTACAGAAGCGTTTCTTCGTCATTGAACAGAACCAACGCATCCTTGAGTTGCTTAGTCCCAGGATGGCCATATGTTTTTTAAGACAACAGTGTCCAGTCAGAGTTCTTGCCAGAATGCGCAGTTCATTTTTACTTAATCCCAGGGCTTTTGAAGCGAATTTAGGATCAAAAGCCCGGATTAACGTTTTAAAATATTTTAAACCTGGTGTGTAAGACCAGATCTTAAGTGATTTATTGTGATAGAATTTCAAGGGTCAATCAGGCTAGGCTTTTTGAGATTCCACATAATGCCTGGGTTCCAAATTGTGTTGCTCTTTACGCCCTCCTGTGCGAGCTCATCGGCAAGTTCATGTCTACAATACCTGCGTGGCTCGGAATTCATTTTAAAACGACCCTGTTGTTACATCCCAAGCCATTTAGACGGTTTACGCAGTCCCCAACTAGCCTCGAGTTCACTAAGTTTGATCTCTTATCTCTTCAGATCTTATCTTATCTTATCAGAGTTTATATAGATTATATGATAGACGTAGTGTTTCTGCAGATTGATTTCCGCACACTGAAGTATAACGAAAATTTCTGCCTGGAAGATAGAAGTGTATCTACCCCCAACTCATACTAAGTTTTTATTTGGGATATTCCCTATAAATTCCAAATCCTATGTAGAGTTCCATTTTTGACCCATCGTACCATATAAGGTTACTGACCTCACAGATAACCGAGCTGCTCCAGGCGATGATCGCATCGCTCCTGTTGTCATTAAGCAGACAGTCCATTAGACTCTTTAGTCTGTCCGCAGTCGTCTTTTGGTTGGCTTTATTACACCGGACAATGGTTGGCGTAGGTGATAATCGGCCTCACTATGCTGCTGTACAGCCATAGGATCATACTGGGATGCAAGCCCTAGTTGTTCCCAACCATACGACTGGACGTACCTAAAACAATTTCACCTGTATTACATACGTTGCTAAGGCGACAGCTCCACGTTAGTTTTTGGTGGATTTTTATGTCCAAATACTTACTTTTCCGATAGTTAAAAGAATCAGGCATTACTTTGCGGAAACACATTATATTGAAGTTGTTAGAACTTAATTTGCTCATTTCCGCGTAATATAATACAATGATGTGTCCTGCCTAGTCTGAAGAGCACGCGACTGCCACCCTCTCTCAGTTGCATGCACTATCCCCTTCACTACCACTTCCAGCAGTACCTTTCTCAGCACAACCTTTCCCAGCGCCACCCCTCCCGCACCACCACACTAGGAACGACACATCGTCCTTGATAATACTTGTGTTTCGCCTCTACACGAGGCATCTGCAGGTGAATTAGACTCTGCGGAAGCTGACACTATCGTCACCACTAATCCCATCACCGCCAATCCTAGCACTCTCTCCGCTCTACACACGCTGCTATTTACACAAAGTTTATGGTCCGATCTATGCAAAATGAACTATATAAGACAAACAAAAAGATCAATTAGAACCCGCGTAAAAGAACATATAGCTGATGTGAAGTATCAACGTTCCGTGAAGTCTGAAGTTTGCGATCATATCCTAGACGGCCCCAACCATTACATCAGATTTGATAGACCACAAATCCTCGCGAAAGAACACCGATTCCTACCAAGGATTATACGTGAGGCTATTGAAATTAAAAAATATCCTAATTTCAATAGAGAAGGAGGCTGGGTACTACCACCTGCTTGGGATCCTATAATCAATAAAATTAAAACTAAACCCAAGCATACCACTGCAAGACCTCAGGACATAGTCAGTTCATTTTGCATAGATCGGACCATAAATAATAATTAAAAAAGCTGAATGTACTCCGGGTTTAACAATGACATCGGGACGTTAGTCTTCTCAGTCCCCACTCCCCCGTGACCATGGGTGCTGGAAAGCGTCCGAAACGTCGGGAATTAAAAATAAAAGTAATTAAAAGTAAAATAAACGCGATAAAATCAGTAAAAGTAGTTTTAATCGACCACTGGAGTGATTTAGATATATTGAAATTTTATATTGAAAATTGAAACAGCTATTAAAGTAAAATGATTATTAATCAATTTTTTTTATTTATTCAACAAAGTAACAGTTTTAATTACAAAATCAATTTCTTCGTGCCATTAAACATCTATTGTTTGTCTTGGCACTGCACAGTTTGCTCTTAATTATACATTAATTTACTTAAGCTTATTATTTAAATGACATTGGAATTAACTTTTATTTAAACTAAATATAAAGTACAATGAAACAATTGTGCTACAAATTATTAAACAAAATTGGCATAAAAAATTTATATAAAATCTATAATAGGTATGTATCTCTTAAACTATTTTTTTTTTGTGGAGAAGGTAGTTTTTGATATTGTTGGAGAATCCCATTTTTCACATGGTCAACTAACTGGATGCACCAGAACATACGACAATAAATGTAGTTCATAAGGATGTATTGTAATATAGGTATTCAGTACATGACTACCTGTGAAATATTTTCGTATAATGAATTTTTATTCACAAATATGTAAGTACGAAAAAAATTAAAAAAAATTAACAAGAAAAGTCATGTGCTTAATTTAAAAAAAAACTAATTTAATAAAATATACACACATCAAATATACGACATAAATAAATATTCGACAAAAACTAACCCAGTAAAGCTGGTTTTCATAGCGATTGTACATATTTTACAAGATACCTCACGAAGAAGATTTTGCTCCAGTGTGTATATTCGAATGCCTTCGCAAATGACTTTTACTAATACATCTATATTCACAGATGTTACACGAAAAAGGTTTTTCACCGGTGTGTATTTTCATATGTGTTTGCAAATTTGCTTTTCTTATACATTTATATTCACAGATATTACACGAAAAAGGTTTTTCTCCGGTGTGTATTGTTATGTGTGCTATCAAATCAGTTTTTCTTAAAAATTTACATTCACAGATATCACACGAAAAAGGTTTTTCACCAGTGTGTATTCTTATGTGTTGCATCAAATCAGTTTTTCTATGGCACTTATATGCACAGATATTACACGAAAAACGTTTTTCTCCGGTGTGTATTCTTATATGTGTTCGCAAATAACTTTTTGTATTACATCTAAATTTACAGATATTACACGAAAAAGGTTTTTCACCAGTGTGTATCCTTATGTGTTCTTTCAAATTTTTTTTTCTTGTAAATTTACATTCACAGATATTACACGAAAAAGGTTTTTCTCCGGTGTGTACTCTCATATGTGTTCGCAAATAACCTTTTATACTACATCTAAATTCACAGATATTACATGAAAAAGGTTTTTCACCAGTGTGTATTCTTATGTGTTGTATCAAATCAGTTTTTTTATTGCACTTATATGCACAGATATTACACGAAAAACGTTTTTCTCCAGTGTGTATTTTCATATGATTTTGCAAATTATCTTTTCTAATACATCTAAATTCACAGATATTACATGAAAAACGTTTTTCTCCTGTGTGTATTTTCATATGCTTTTGCAAATATTTTTTAACTGTACATTTATAATCACAATTATTACAACCGTACACTTGCTTAGCGACGTGTGCTTTAAGATGTGTTGAAATGTAAGGATGTTTTTGAGATGTTTTAAATTCGCAAATATGTGGTACTGGAGTTTGTTCAACTTGTGTCTGAACTGCATCTGAGTTCTTTTGCGTCTTATGACTGTATGATATGTGGTCGGCAAGAATATCTTTTGCTAAAAATTTTTTACTACAATCATCACATTCAAAAATGTATTTTGTTAAATCAGATGTGTTTTTCGTTTGCTTCAAAATTTTCTTTTTCATAATTTTTGCAGTATGCTTCCCTTTTTTAATAACTGGTTGAGTATCTCTTTTCAGTTTAGGCTTTGATTTAATAGTAGGGCTTTCTAAATCAAGGTTTCCTTTACGAACATCATTTATGTTACAATCAGTAGAATTTGATTTAATCTTTTTCTCACACGGTTCTGAAAAAATATTTGTTTGTATGCACGGTTGTTCTGAAATACAAATGAATCAAACATTTTATTTATTATAAGAAATTTTATCTTTATTGTAAGATACCTTAGACGGTTTACAGCTGGCGGAATTTACGCCTTACCAGGGAGACATAGAGAAATTATAATATTTTACATAATTACACTCATTTTAAAGTTGCAAGATATAAAGTATTTTAAACAATTAATCTGGATAATATCTCTCATATTCATTTTTGGAGGGAAAGAATGATAAAGAATCTAAATCCGAATAATAATGTTGATGTTCTTCTGACCGTGTTATAATTACTAGACATGGAACGAATAGTGATTTGCCGAGTACTCAGCCATTTTGGGCCGAGTACTCGGCCAAATACTCGGCTTTAAAAAAACACGGTATCGGGTGGCGCGCGGTTATTTCCCTTACACAGACTTAGGGATGAAACGATAGAGTAAATTCAAGTACTTACTTGATGCTTATCCTTTTTGTTACAAATAATAGGGCCGATAAACTAGTATTTTGCATCTTACCTCTCTTAAATTTTAAATATAAGTAATAATTATTTTTATTATAGATTCTTATGTACGTTCTCAATATTTCTGTTGTTTCTCATGTTCCTGATGTTTTAATGTGTCTCATATAAAGAATAATGATAGAAACTGGCTTTTTGTATTTATTTTTCTCTGGAATATAATTAAGGCAGAGTACTCGGTACTCGGTCGTTAGTACTAGTTGTTCGGCCGAACCCTAAAAAAATGGAATCCAAACCGAGTACTCGTCCCGTGTCTAATAATTACATTAATTTAATAATCGCTGCTTCGAATCCCACACGGAAAGAGTGTTATACATACATACATTTTGACCAGTATTTTTTGTAGATATTAGGAATATAGTCTAGGTAGTAATATTAGAATAATCTATTCTTATAATCGTTGCTTCAAATTTCACACAGAACTAGTGTTACACACACAGTACAGTCGAAGTTGGCATGTAAATGCTGCATAAGAGAATTCATCATCACATTTTATCCCGTGGACTTTGTAAGAGGCGACTTTGGGTTTGGTTATCCGACAGATGGCGGTACAACCACCTTGTTTACTTCAGATGTAAAATATCCAGACCAGCGACAGGCAATAGTGGCAGTCTGGTTCTGTGATTGTCAATCCTATGTCAAACGTGACGACTGAGGCAAATCCTCCCTACATGAGGAGACATCCTTCCACATTTAGCAGTGGAAGTTTACGGGACGATTAAGATAGAGGCATTATTTGTAGACCGTACAAAGACTCAAAACAAGCCCTGGTAGCTCAGGGGTTAGCAGTTTGCCATAAAATTTCACAGTACGCTAGCAACCCAGGTTAATTCTACACCAGCACCCAAAAAATTGTTAATTTTCTATGTGTGTGTGTATATAGTCGAGTGATCATCATCATCATCATCATCGTTAAAGCCCTATACAACTCCACTGCTGAACATAGGCCTCCCCTAAAGTATGCCACAAACCACAGTCTGACTCTGTATATAATATAAAATCTGATACTTTTTCCAATCAACTAGATCATTACAGTCCACAGCTTATGGACCCGAACCACCCACTTTCATTACCATACTGCAGGTTTCATAAGCTATGTGTAATAACCTGAAGTGGCAATGGGCCGAAGAACTGACACTGACTGATGGAGAAGAAAGGCTCTCCTAACGAGATGTAATTGTGGCAGCCTTGTGCCAGTAGACAAAGTGTGAGTGTTCTGCCACAACTTGTTTTTAGTAGGTGAATGCTTGCCAGTATAAGGATACCTTGAGCACCTTTACTCCATATATTTCATATCAATATGAAGTGACAAATAAACTAACAGTCGACCTTATGGTATGTAGTCGATCCACCTCATAGTAAGTGGGTACTGCAGTCCATGGACTGCCTCTGAGCTTTCGCGCTACAATGCGCTGTCACCTCTGACAACTACGATGCAATTCCCCACAGCCAGTGATTATACTGACTCTATACTCTTCAGACTGGCACACAGCAGTGCATGCACTGCTATTTGACGACAGAAATAGGTAACAGGAGGATGGAGAAGTCCACCTGCATTAAGAAATTGGCAAAGATAGGTGGTAGCTTACCAGTTGTAAGTATATCATTAATTCCTACAAGTTAATACATCTTAGTGTAACATGCAAGCTGCCTGCATTTATATAGGGTCAAAACATTTATAAATATAATAAATATTTATACATAAGTAAAAGAAAATGTCTAACAATGCTTATTATAATGTCCATATATGCTTCTCAGTTAAATAATTATTTAATTTATTTTCTTTTTCCATGAGTGCTTTTTAAATGCACTTTGAACTTAGGCAAAGGCAATTCAGTAAATCAGTACATTGCACATGAGGCCCTCTTTATTTTGTGTCCATTGGCTACAGTAACCAATTTTTATATTTAATAATATCACAAAAAGTGTATATCTTACCTATTTCATGACTCCAGCCAACTTCAAATTTAAAATTTTCATTTTCGATTTTCTCTTCCTCAACTTTAACAGATTCAAGGCTAAAAAAGTCATCCTTAAAATCTTTTTCTATATCACACTCTACTGGCCAGATATCTATATGATTAATTGGTGTGAATTGAATCTCATCTCTAGTCTCATGCGGTTTTGGTATTGACTGAAACCAAAGTCTTTTTTAAATAAGTGTAGGAGAATTTATACTACCCCATACCATCCCGCAGATGCAGCAGCATCTTCCTGACAACAACTCCAAATAACAATAAAGCCGGACAAAAGTGAGAGTTACCAATAAATTTAAATAAGAATGTAGATAGTTAAAATATGTAATTAGAATCGAGACTCAACAATTTTTCCATTCAGATTCACAAATACCATAAATGGACAAAAGTTTACTAATAATATTTATCAACTATAGATAACATTTTGTTTATATGCAATAGAATTAATACATAACAGTATAAACAGTTCGATAATTATTTTTTGTAAAAATAAGTACTTCACTTAGTCATTCATATAATATCACTAGCCTGCCAGGCAGACGTTATTCTGCCCTTTTCTACGACCCTGTCATGTCCTATTAAAATCCTTAAATTCGCAAAAAATAAATTGTGGGTTACTCATGGGCAAAAAAAACTATCCTATCTCTCAAGTTGGACCAAACTGCACACGGTGTGCAAATTTCATTAAAAGCGGTTAAGTAGTTTAGGAGCCTATCGCGGACAAACAACATGACACGTAATTTATATATATTAAGATAATCCACAAAGCGACATATTCTCGCATATCTCACTTAAGTAGCAACCATGGAGGATAGAGAAAAGGAGAATGTCCGTGGAGTTTTTATATGTTTTGTTTTTATTTTAATTTTTTAAATAATTGTAAAGAATAAAAATATTATTCCTGTAATTTTGACAAAACATGTCATCGCTAACATATTGCAAAAATGTAAATTGCTTTATTGAGACTTTTTTGTTTTTTAAAGGAACCGTTCCAAACGTAGCATTGACGCGTGCGCAATACGGGTACGTACTGCGCATGCGTCAATGCGCTTGAAAGCGTATGTATTGTGACTGTCAAATTATATACAAATATAATTTGGAATAAAATAATATTGCGAATGTGAATTGAAATGTAAGCTATCCTATCTCTCAAGTTGGACCAAACTGCACACGTTGTGCAAATTTGATCAAAATCGGTTAAGTAGTTTAGGAGTCCATCGCGGACAAACAACATGACACGTACTTTATATATATAAGATTATTAAGCAGTTATATATATAAGTCAGTAGTAAGCCTCTCTTCCATATCATAAAATTTACTAAGGCAAGAACCGCATATACTAAAATTAACGCTGAGCATAAACAACACATTTCTTTTTAAATTTAGAAAGTAAAAATAGGGTGTGTAGTATGTGTGTATGTATAGTACGGCCGCTGAGTTATTACCGATTTGACAGATTATTCTTAAATTAATCGATATAACCTTGCACGAGCGACACATTTTCCGAATGATTTAGAATACCTCTTTAATATAAAACTTTGTCAAAATGTCAGAATCAAGTAATTTTCCAATAAACTCTGTTTCAAAACTTAAAATAGTTTATAAATAATATGAAAACATTTATTTTTTGTTTTTTGGCGCGTTGTACAAAGTTACATCGTGCGTCTAGTTTTCATAGTGATGTGCTTGATAGTATTCGGTCCGAATTCATTGGAATAGATATGATATTTATTTTATTTGGATATTTTTATTTTACTTATTCCTTCGAGCAACTAGACTATAATGCTACCATTTTTTTGCGTCTCCTAATTGCACTGTGTTGCCAGTATCTCTATGATTTTTAAGATTTATGTGTGATCCAAAGACAGAAATACTGTTTTCTATGATTTAAAAATAATTACAATTAAAATGGTTATGTATAATTTTTAACATTCATAATATATAAAACAACATTTAATAAATATAATTTTCTCCCTCAATTAAGCAATGTTATAGGTGTATTTTTTTTAAGTAATTGGCGATACTATTCTGGCAACACCCTTACCACCGCTATTTTAATCTGTTTAGTCGTCTTCCGTACTCTCGTGCGCACAGACTACGTTCTCTTGTGTAACTGTTGTTTTTTGACTCGGCTTTCTCCTGTTTATCGTTGCGCTTTATTGGACTAATTTTGTTTGTGTTTGGTAATTTTGTTAAAAATGCCGAAACGAGGAAAAACATTGAATAGTCAATGTCGTGAGCTTGTACTAAAGCTACAGGATTACTTTGAGCGTGAGTCACAAAATGGCGGCCCTTTGATTCCTGTCACTCAAGTGAAAGATCGGGTTTCACAAGCTCTTGGAATTGGTGCAAAAACACTATATAATATAAATAAGAAAAATTTGGTGCTTCTGGAAGTGAGTGTTTTACGCACCCCTAAGAAAAAACGAAGACAAAAGCCCGTGACAGGTGTTGATGTTTTTGATGCAGATGCAATAAGAAACCACATATATGGTTATTATACTATGAACGAGTTTCCAACTAGACGTTTGCTTTTGGTCTCTTTAAAAGAAGCTGGCTTGTTTAAAGGCGGTAAAACGGCGTTGTCAAAACTATTGCACGAAATTGGGTTTGAATATAAAAAAACGAATAAAAGGAAAATATTTAGTTACTGGTTCAGTCACTTCACTAGTATTGTCAATTCGTCATGTGTCAAATCGGTAATAACTCAGCGGCCGGAGTATAGTGAATGTGTAGTGTGTGTAATATTCTCCTTGAGCACATCTCGAATCTCGCAATTTTCTAACTTCCGCAACAGAATGGAGGTACACAATGTCAAATGCCTTTTTATGTTCAAGAAACACTAGGAGGCAATTTGAATTTTTATCAAGACTATCAAAACCTACGGATAAAAGGGCTTCTACAGTGTCTTCAGTCGAATTTTCTGCTTGAAAGCCAAACTGGATATGATGTGAAAACTTATTGAGGAAATTTATGAGTCTCTTGTTGATAACTTTTTCTATAACTTTTGAATATCTATAGCCCTTTAGCGAAATTGGTCTGTAGTTGTTGATATCCTTCTCATCTCCACTCTTGTGAACAGGTGTTACTAGCGACTCCTTGAACAAAGGCAGAAATATACCGTTCTACCGTACTAAAATACGCAGGCGGGTGTCATAAGAGGCGACGGAGGGAAACAGATATCAACTGAGTTGTGATCAGAAATATGCTGCTGATATATACTGCGGTTCTCAAATTTGGAAAAATCCCTCCTATGAAACAATCTATGACAGACTTTTATCGGTTTTATTGGATGGAATGGATAATACCATGGACCCTCCTACAAGCAACTGCTCCAGAACTGCATTTGACTCAATAGCCTGTTGTTGTAATGTTCTGCATCGAATGAGTCTTGCATGACATATGAAACAGACAATTACAGGCGGCTCATCTTCATCCATCTGAAAATATGATACTTTCATAAATATGGAAAACAACTTAAATATACAATTTTGTAATAAAATATATTGGCCACTATAACTCTCTTCTTCAACATAATTTTTATAATATAGAAGTAACAAATAAACTTACAATCCACCTGATGGTAACATAACATACACACATAAAAATAAAAAGTATTTTCAACCTTTTTTAGTATATACTTTACAAATTATATTGAGTTACTCTAGAAAGTTACACAGATACTCAAGTTTCTAGAGCATTAAAAACATACTATATGAAGTGGTGAAGACCAAATCATTCTGATAATTTCTTGACATGAAATCGCAATAATACCCAGTGATATGTACTACAATAGACACAGTGAAAAAATCTTTGCAGTGGTGTGGAAGGAGGCACATGGTAACCTTTTTAAGCGATAAAGTTTGGATCCGCGGGCTTTAACGTGTGTTGCAAACAATTAAGTCTCGGTGTCTCTTCTAGTACGTAGTAGGATTTCAGGCTAATTCTTCAGTTGTTCTTCTGGTTGCATTTGTCTGGTAGCACTATATTTCACGCTGCACCTTAGCTTAGCCCCGATCTATCGCATTTTATATCAGGGAATTTATAACGTATTTCTCCATTGATAACAACAAATTACCGCAATTCCAATTTGCAATATTAAGAAATATTAACAACTTACAAAACAGTTCGTCAATATTTTGTACAAATTTCGAAGACTAGTCTTCTTTAGTACACACATGCGTAAATTAACGCGTAAACAAATTCTACAAACTTCACTAAAGGCCATTCTTGTTTCCTATTACAAATGTACTCTGTGAATTCAATTAAATTTTTCATCAATAAACCGGAGCGGAGTTTATAAAATGCAGTAGGCTTTCAGTTTATACAAAGGTACTCTGTGCAGTAGGCAGTACCTACACCATAGATTACTAACTATATCATAGATTACTGACTATATAGTAGAGAACCTACACTCCATAGAACACCATTACACAGACTAGATAGAGAAACTGACGTTTCTAGGATTCTCTGTCTACGCCAGAAACTAATAAGACCGTAGACAGAGAAACCTCTAGACTAATGATCGGCGTGGCCTCGAGTGAGAAAGGACGATAACGAATTTTTAGGTTATACAATAATCTTTATGACTTTTAAACACATTTAGATAAAAAATTTAATTGTTCTAAAAACTGAACGGAACAAAATTCACCAATCTTAAGCTCACAAAACAATTTTTTCTCACTTAAACCAACTTGTAAACTCCTTAAATCGCTATGCTGTTAAAGTTGTTTAGCAAACTAACTAAACAAAAAAACCGGCACGGAGATAGGGACAAACAATCACACCGCTCTATCTCATTTCTATGCATGACGTATGCATAAATCTATCTTTTTCGTGTGCGAATGCGAAAGAAGGCGACAATTTGTCTATAGATTTCTCTGTCTACGAATAAGACTAAGAGTACTATTCTATTACATACTTTAGTACATATTCAGTAATCTATGACTATTACTCACGCGCGTGTTAGTACTCTTATTAGTTTGTGCGCGCGTGTGTCTCTCTGTCGTCTATATATAATTATAAATATATATTATATATAATATAATTATAATGTATAAATACTAAAAATTATAGTTAGTTTGTGCCATGGAGGCTAGAGAACAGATAGCTGTTTATGAGTACAAGTAGATGAAGTTAGTTGAATATGTACTGTAGTGTAATATGTATGTACAAATTTTCATTTCATTTTTAATGAAAAAATTTTCATGCTCCATAATTTTGTAATTTTTGGCAAAAAGAAACATTAAAAAATGGAGAAATATTTTATTGTGCGTGGATGTGCAAGTGGTTTAGCATCTGATCGGAAAAATAGACTGAAAATGACTTTTATTGAGCGAACTTAGCGATCGCAGTGCCTCACTTATGGTGTCCATATTTCTGGGACACTATTTTCTACGGCGATCGTTCTCCTGTTCTCTAACCTTCATGGCAGTATACACTACTCTATGGTGTGTAGAGTACCTTTGTACAAACTGAAACTGTTGCGTAGACAGAGAAACCTATAGACAAATTGACGCCTTCTTTCGCATTCGCGCACGAAAAAGATAGATTTATGCATACTTCTTGCATAGAAATGAGACAGAGTGGTGTGATTGTTTGTCCCTTTCTCCGTGCCGGTTTTTCTATTTAGCAAACTACACTTTGCTAAACAACTTTGACAGTTCGTAGCGATCTAAGGAGTTTACAAGTTGCTTTAAGTGAGAAAAAAGTGTTTTGTGAGCTTAAGATTGGTGAATCTTGTTCAGTTCAGTTCTTAGAACAATTAAAAATTTTATGAAATATGTTTAAAAGTCATAAAGATTATTGTATACTAAAATATTATTCTTACGAGGCTATAGTCAAGTTTTTGGTACTTGCGGCTTACACGGCTTATATGACTATGCACATTCTCTGAAACTCATGTTATGTAAACAAACTATTTGGATTGGCTATAGACTTCCGGTACTTGATTTTCATAATGTTTTTAGTCTAGAAGGCTTGTTAAGTTTAAGCTTGAACCTATTACAATGTTTTTAGAAGTCAGAATGAGTTTTGTAATAATTACAATAAAAATAAATTTCATTAAATATTGCTTTTAATGGAACGCATTATTATGTATAAGTAGTATTATGATGTATAAGTCCAGTACTTGATTTTTTAATTTTGTTTTAAATTTAAAAGGTTTGTCAGGGTTAAGCTCGAACCTTCTACACTATTTTTGGATTTCGAAAATGACTTTTGAATTAATTATGATAAGAAAAATATTCACTAAAAATTACATATAATGAAACGCAAATATATCAATTTGTTTTTTTAACACAGATACACCCATATAAAAATTGTATCACTCAGATCTAGACAATCCGTTTGTGGCTACTCATATACAACAAATTGAGTCACAATGGAGAGCCGTCAAGATGTTTTACAGAAAAAAAAATTAAAAAATTTACATTACATTGTTTAATTTACCACTATAATGGCAGAGTCTAAGGTAACCTGGCTTTATAGTAAATATTGGTCGAATCTGTTCTAAAACTGAAACAGACGCCCCAACTCCACATAGTCTTGTCTACCCTACTCCTAGTGTTTTTGTAAAACCGTAGGTGCGGAGGGAAAGCAGCCCCCATGGGTGTTTGCAATTTGTTGTATGGGGCTGTACTTCCTGCAGCGCCGAAGCTGTTGCAAAAGTAACTTTGGATCAATATTCCTGCGTAAAAAGTGAAGTTATAATTTTACAAAAAGTTAATTACTCATAAACTATACATTTCCTCAAGAGGGGAAGAGTAGGAGGGCTTTCCCTGAATCCTCCTCCTCCCGCCACCATAACGAATTCAGACCAACCAAATGGAACATTTAAACCTCGCTTCCATGCTATAGCAACTAGGAACAATGGTAATTTCATTTTCTTGTATTGAGCACAGTGCCATCTCTACCATAGATTTGGAAAGAAAAATAGTGTGTTGCTATAGTATAAAATATATAATTAAGATATCGGAAGATTGTGCCAAACACAAATAAGTTAATTAAATAATTATCACAAAATTTTGTACAAAAATGATTAAAAAGTAAAATTTTAAACTTAAAAGCAAATGTATGAAAATGTTGAACCGTTTTGGAACGCAAAATATTTTTGTCAACTATTCTTAATAATGGGACATTATTATTGTTACTAGCTTAGGGTTCGTGACTGTAAAAACTGCCGATTGAATTACCAAAATTGACACTATATGGTTTATAAAAGATTCCTGAATCATTGCACTAATTAGGTTGGCATGCCCATAAAGTATGACATTGACACGTACTGTCTGTACTACTAAGAAATTCAGGACTTCATAGGCGTGATTTTACTGACAGCTGTCGCAGAGATCAAGCTATCTTTTATGAACTATAATTACCGAATACCAATTAAAACTGAAAAGACACTAATAATTATTCACACTTTAGTTCACTTTATTTCACTCTGAAAGCTTAGCTCGTATCGCCAATTCAATACTACTACGATCGCGGCTTTCAACTGCTTTAAATAGGGCTCTTCCACCGAAACTTCCACAATATTCCAGAAAATACGGGCCCCGACCGACTAGGCGCAGAAAGTTCGAGTGTGGGGCTTTCTAGAAAGCTTAATTTCTCTGTTTGATAATAGATGGCGCTAGTGCCATCAACTGTGGCACGCAACATTATTATTGCCACAGATTATTGCACTGGTAACAATTGAATTAGCTTGCTACATATTTATTTATCTATGAATTGAATTCCAAATGTCTCGCTGCGTAGAAGTGGCGGTTTCTTTTACGTTTTCTGGCTTTGCAATTAAATTCTGGCTTCACTATGCAGTAATTTATGTTCTGGTTGTTTCGCGAGTGCATCTGTTAACCAAGTTGAGTTGAAACTCTGTTTCTCCGTATTTCCATGCCGCGTTACAATCATCCTCTGCTTCGTACCTACGTCCACATTGAGTTGAGACCTCCTCCGTGCCGTCTTTCGGAAAATAAACTCGTGAAGTTGCATAAGCACTCTTAATTGCGAATAGTGAACAATGTGAACAGCTTCCGTAATGTCACAGAACTCTTGTTGTGTGTCTGGGTGACTTAAAATGATGGTATGTAGTTTTTGGACACTATGTATGTATTTTAAAAATACTTCACATCAAACTCCTATAATCTATCATACAGTGCCCGACACGGATCTAAGCGTTGTGCGAAAGAGGGAATCAGTTCGTAATTTATCATTTCTGCACAGGTTAAATAAAGTAAGGTGTTGGCTATGGATATCCCCCTAGAGTGTTTTTGTAAAGCCGGAGGCGCAGAGAAAGAGCAGATCCCGTTTGCCGTAGCAAATCTGCCACACAAAAATGTTGAGAAGTTAATGAATCGTAACATTGTTAGTTGTAATAACTAAGTAGTGAGAAAGGTTAATTGTAAGTTGAGTCTCCAAAAGCAACAGTTGACCATGTGTGACTGCTCGACATATTTTGATGTAACTTGAAAAAATATACTTTAACATTTCTGAATATGAATCCTTTTTTATAAAGTTAACGTCTGTTGCCTGAATACTAAATTATTAGGTAATTTATTATACTTACTACTACTGGAGATACCTAAGTGCTAATTAGCAAGATGATTTTGCTATCAAGCTGAAGGGCTCGATAACGTTGAATCATATTAATACATAAGTACCCGGTTGACCGAGCTTTGCTCGGTATTTTTCGCTCGGTTTTTTTTAATTCGTGTGTTTTGGAAATTATATTTAGATACAAATTATGTACTGATGAAATACGAATAATATTTTTTGATCTTAGTGACATAATAGAAAAAACTGAACTGGTTATTTGAATAAAAAATCATGAGTGCAATTAGTTTAATTTAAATTTTCGTGTTTTTAAAAAATACTAAAAAAAGGGCTCGAAAAAATAGATTTTCTAAAAAAAGAAAGGAACTTGAAAAAAAAGTAAAAAAGTTGGTTGGCCGGTCTGGGCTTGAACCGGGGTTTTACGATTCAGTGACCGGCCATTATACCAATTAAGCTATTGATAATAATGACAACCTGTCAAAATTTACCTTCTTATTCTAACAATATTGTAGCAGTTTTTCGTTGCCTAAAAACACGGACAAAAAGACATTTTCTAAAAATAAAACCTAGCTAGATCGATTTTAATAAGAAATAAAAATATAAATTTCTTTGCAACTTTCCGCTAAACATATAAAATGATGTGTCTTACCTGGATTGAAGTGCACCTCCCACCCTCCCTCAATTGCATACACTAACTCCGTCACCACTAGACCAAGTACCACTACTCTCAACACCACTATTCCAGGCAAGACACACCATCGACGATAATACGACACGTGTTTCGCCTCTACACGAGGCATCCTCAGGTAATATAGACTCTACGGCGGCTGACTTACGGTCAGCCGCCGTAGAGTCTTAATCAATCCAGGTAAGACACATCATTTTATATGTTTAGCGGAAAGTTGCAAAGAAATTTATATTTTTATTTTTTATTATAATGGATTTCCGCAAAGTAACGCCTGATTCTATCAATTATCTTACATCGATTTTTTATCCCAGAAACTCCCTGGACACTAAATTTTATGAAAATCGTTGGAGCCATTTCCGAGATCCTGATTATATATATATATATATATATATATATATATATATATATATATATATATATATATATATATATATATATATATATATACAAGAATTGCTCGTTTAATAGTATAGGATATGTTACACTATTTTGTTTGTTCACTAGCTATATTTCTTTTTTTCAGGTCGTTGTGATATAATCACAAAAATTTTTAAAATATACAATGAAAGGAAAAGAATGCACAGCAAAATGGTCCCACATCATTGATTTATATAATAGATGCCCAGATTACAGAGGTGTCAAATTAGTGCCTAAGCTGACTGCTTACCACGTCTTACCAAATTTAATCCCAAAGATAAGGGTGAAACACTGCACACAAGTGTTTAGTCAATCTGTTGGAGTAGGCTTTGCGTGCATGGTAGGTAAGCAGACTTTATTTACAGTAATTTAAATTATAAATGTACCTATAATGTTTTTATTAATGATTGAAAGTTATGCACTCTCTCTTTAATTATTGCCATTTTGTACATGTCCAATGCTGAACATTGGCCTTATTATTATTATATGCATCACCATTATCATAACTTTTTTCAAATTGATAATAGTATGTAATCGAAGTATATAGGTATAAGTAAAAATACAAACATTACTAATCTTGACACAAACTCTTATTCACCTTTTGTGAAAACAATGCGAGGTAGTACGGCTAAGCTTCTTTCTGTCAGAAGGCTAGTAAAAATAAAAATTCAACAACTTTTTACTGTAGATCTAAATCTGAAATAGCGGGATGACTATTCCACATTTTGTTTGTTTTGGTTTAAAAGAAATATATACTAATATTTGTTTATATATTTCTTTTTCATTTCAGAATTAGGAGCTGTTGATAAGAGCAGTTATGAGACAGCGGACCTCCTATCGTTTTTCGATGACCTTTTTGACAGCATGAATGGTAGTTTCAGCGATATTACAGGAGGAAAAATGTATTGTGCTGCAGTAACTCCAATTTCACCCCATCACGATTTGTGGAATTATAGTATCCCAATCCTCAAAAGTATGAAATTTGTAAGCAGTAATAGTCAAGGAGTAGTGTCATCTTTATCCAGTTGGATTAAAACAATAGAAAGTTTTAAAAATATTTTAAAATGTTTAAATTAGAAAAAGGCATCAACTTTTTATTACTGAGAACTTTTAACCAAAATCCATTGGAATTTTATTTTTGAGCAATCCGAGCTCATGGCTATAGTAATATAATGCCTACGGCATCTGCATTTGAAGGAGCATTTATAAAATTGTTAATAAACAATATAACATCTTCATTCTTCACATTCAGTTGGATCAAACAGTGAAAAAGATGACAGTGTTTGTCTCCAGTTCTTAAATGATTTTTAACGTATCCTAGAGAAAACAACACAGCATTTGTATATATAGACTCTATTAATACAAATGCACTATTAGCAAGTAAAACTCAACAGATCTTGAAAAATGCGCAGCAATAGGTTATTGCAGTGGCTGGATAGCAAAACATCACATGTTTAAAAACTGTATGACTTGCAGGTATGATTTGGAAGCAGAACATTTATTAAATTTTCATAAATTTATTAAAATGAAAGAATATGAATATAAAAAGTGGTTGTGTTATCCTACCAGAGCATTGTTTGATTTCTTTGTCCAAGTTGAACATATTTCAATAGAAATATTAAAAGATAGTGATAAAAATTATATATCTAAATATATTAAATTGATTATGACAGTTAATTTAAATTTAACTTTTTTAACATGTATAATACACAAAAATGATTCAACTGATTATTTAATAAATAAGTCCACATTTTTTTTTATAAACAATTGATTCAAATATATAAACAATGTCCTCACTGGAAAAATAAAATACTTTTTGGGTGTAAATGACCCTATGAATGAAAAAGCTCAAAGGCACTGCTCTAAAAATATAGGGAAGAAGAGGATAAGACAATAATGTATTTGTAATTTTTTTTTGTTTTTGTTCAGTTACTCAAATCAACTGAGTTAGTAATTCATTCATGGGGCGATGTATACGCTTTTACAACAAGATCCCAGAAAATATACAAAATTTGACCTGCACAAAGCTTAAAACCTTATTAAACTAAGTTTGTATTAAAGGGTCATTATAATATTAAAGAATTTATGGATGATAATAACCCCCGTGAAGGGTGATCGCTACCAAGCTATTTCTTATTTGTTATGTGTTGTTAATTAAAACATACATGTAAACTGTTATTTTAAAAAGATGTCCCGCTGGGTTTCTCGCTGTTTCTTCCCAGGACAGAGGTTTTATATCGAACCAGTGGTGTAATTGCTCGTGTAAGGGAGCGTTGATAAATAGAGCGGGTTCGCTGGCGGGATGTTAACTGGAGAGCATACAGTAGCAGTTAGATGAGCAATAAATAACACTTCTTTCTGAGAGTTTCTTCTTATTTTATTTCTTGATTCCTTATTATTACATTGCCGGATTTGGAATGCTTTACCACGAAAAAACACCCCTTTTTTATAAGCGGCTGTAACCAATCAGAATTGAGAAAAATTCGCACACGGCATTAGTGAATCCATCGACCAATCAGAGTACAGAATAACCCTTTCTAAGGGAGATTTACAATTTCCTTAATAAACGTGGTAAAACATACCTTACAACATTTTTATTTATTCCTAACAATAGATATAACTTATTTTTATTATTCTAAACATAAATCATTCAACAAACCTTTATTTTACACTTATAAAAAATAAAAATAGTTTCGCGGTCGCTTCACGGTTTAGTTCCGGAGTAGGATAGTATTTTTGCCGAACATACAAGTACTCCTACGCGGGCCCCGTCTCCTACGCGGGCCCCGTCTTTGCCCACGCAAACCCTAATATTTTAAATGAACTCCAAATAGTTCAGAACCTCTTCTGTCGTCGAGCTGCGAACGCACCTTGGTACGTCCGTAATGCCGACCTTCATCGGGACTTAGAGCTCCCAACAATTCAACAATTTTTTAAAAAACTCTGAGAACTTCTTCAAAGCCTCAGAGTCGCACCCAAACCATTTAATTCGTGAGGCAGCTTCTTATGCAGCCCCACCCCCCTCTCGCTATCGTGTCCGCAGGCCGAGAAACTCTCTCTCGGACCCGCCTAATAAACTTTCAAACGACCTGAACTGTCTCCTGGCGGCTCAGGCCAACTCTAATTAAATAAAATTATTGTAATAACTAACATTAATTTGCCTTCGTAGGCACTCCCTCAGCGGCACTTAGCCGCCTGCGCCCTCTTTTCCCAAAAGAGGGTCGCTCATGATAAGGCACAATAGAGCTTAATCAGCCGGTTGCCTGTCCCCAAAGGCGGTTTTTAGAGGGTATCACTTAGGGTCCCCGGTAGGACAGTGAGCCCCTCATAACCACGATAGACCGGCTATCGTGGTATGCGTAATGCATTTTCCGCCTCCCTACGTATAGGGTAGACCTTTAATTGCTTCGGGCGCAAAAAAAAAACATACAAGTAGCGCCGCCAAGAGGCAGGAATGTACAACGCTTTTTCAGGAATAATGCTTAAGAATCTATACAATATTTTTTCATGAAATTTAAATCTTTCTCATAATGAAATTACATTATAAAGTAATTAATTGATAAATAATATTAAATAGATTCATATAAGTTATTTTAAGATAAGAATTGAAGTGATTAATTTACTTTCCTGTTATCATCACTAATCAGTATTTACACTTAGCTTTATTTTACGAATAAGAAACAATTGAGATTAAATACTATCACTTAGTTTTAAATTACTGATAAGCAACAGTTAAGATTAAATGTTCGAATTCACTTTGTCGTCGCTAACAAGTGGTAAATTAAAAAAATAAAAAGTTTGCAAGATTAAATCTTTAAAGAACATAAACTGCATTTTTTCTAAGATTCTCAGTTACATTTAATTCATCTATGCAGCTTAAACTGGAAATTTGTTACATTCGCGAAATTGATGTCGAATGTGAACGGCCACTATTTGTTGCTTTGATACTTTATACAACTTTTCTAATAGTTTCGGCATTAATTTCAATTGCCAATGTAACAAATTACCAGTTTTAAGCTCCACTAAATGCATATAAATATAGCATATATATATATATTCGTATTAGTTTTAGGTATCTAACAACTAGATGGTGCTTTTTGTTAATCAAAGAGAGTGAGAGCTGCCTGTCTATTTCCGTCTTTGACTAGAGAAGAAAGAAAGGACGTGACATAAAGATCGTTAATTGTAAAATGTAACGAAATATCGGCGTCTCTTTTTAGCTTATGAGTATATTCGTATGTAAAAAAAGGACAACAGTAGTTTTATCATTACCAAATATGCCAATATTTTTTTCGCTGCGGCCGAGCGCCATGTTTTTTTTACAGTCAATGACAAATACGAGGGTGGATTGAAAAGTACTCGGCCTAACCAAGAAAATAAACACATACTAAATCAGTTATATTTTTATTTTTCTACATAATCACCATCAAGTTCAATACACTTTTGCCACCTCCCCTTGCAAGCATTTAGACCGTTGAAAAAATGATTCTTCCTTAGAGTCAAAATATGCGTCTACAGCTGCTTTGACCTCGTCGTTTGTCGAAAATCTTTGACCTCCAAGTGCTTTTTTAGCTTAGGGAACAGAAAGAAGTCTGATGGTGCCAGATCAGGTGAATACGGCGGATGCGGTAACAGTTCAAAGCCACAGTTGTGAATTTTAGCCATAGACTGTACTGACGTGTGAACACGGGCGTTATCTTGATGAAACAGGAGTTTTCTTCTGAGCATTCCTCGACGTTTTTCTTTTATTTCCTCTCGTAAACGACGTAGTAAGGTGCAGTAGTAATCAGAGTTTATAGTCTGACCCCTTTCAAGATAATCAATCATAATCACACCTTTCGAGTCCCAGAATACTGAAGCCATCACCTTATTTGCCGACAAAATCGACTTAGCCTTTTTAGGGGTGGTGAACCAGGTCTTCTCCACTGTTTTGATTGTTGTTTTGTTTCCGGTGTACAGTAATGAACCCATGTTTCGTCCATAGTAACAAAACGATTCAAAAAATCATCTGCATCGGCTTCAAATAACCAAACAGTCGCGTGAAATAGTCAATCGCGTCCTTTTTTGTTCAACTGAAAGCAGTCGCGGAACCCACCTCGCAGACACCTTGTGGAAACCCAACTCGTTGACAATGATGTTTTGAGTTCGTTCATAAGAGATGCCTATAATCTCGGCTATCTCTCTAATTTTTAATCTGCGGTCTCCCATTATTAAATCAAGTACTTTTTTTAATATTTTCGTCAGTAGTTGACGTCGAAGGCCTTCCAGAGCGGGGTTCATCTTTCACACTCTCTCTACCACGCTTAAATTCTGCTATCCATTTTTTGACGGATGAATATGACAGAGCACAATCGCGTAATGTACTGACCATGTCATCATGGATGGCTTTTGATGATAGCCCCTTCTTATGGAGGTACTTAATGACGGCACGCTGCTCGATTTGCTCCATTCGCGGAAATTATGTCCGATTACTTTGTTAATAAATTTATAAAATCACAACTAATTATCAAACACGTTTCGAACTTCACACAATGAACTAGTCTGAACTGAACTAAATAATGTGGGTAGATTTGATTTTTAGAATTGAATGGATCTGTGTTAGGCCGAGTACTTTTCAATCCACCTAGGTATATCAGTTGTCAATGCGACTTTAGTGATGTGAGTGTGTTATTTTCATATGTTTCTCTCGTGGAATTCGATTATTACGGAAATTCTTATTCTATTCCTCGGGACCTCTAAATCGGGATAAAAAGTATCCTTTATGTTAATTCAGGTAATAAACTATTCGTGTGCCAAATTTTTACATTCAAGCTGGTCTGATACTTTTGGCGTGATTCAGGAATAAACATTCAAACTTTTGCAATTATTATAGTTTGATTAGTGTGAGTATGATGACTGAGCCTAATTTACTGTCTAACAAACAAACAAAAATTCTTTAATTTGTATTTCTTGTAAAGTGATTCCCGGGAAATAATTGTAACATTAATTATATATTATTATAATGTAATTGACAGACTTACATCATAAAAACATAACAAAAACTACTACAGTAATTTCCTTTTAATTTCATTTATTTT